AAGAACTAAACAAAAATCAATCAATTAAGAACTGAAAACAAGCCTAAATAACTATATGTTATAGAGTTGTCATGCTTTGAGCTTTTGTTTTGTTTTTGTTTTTGTTTTCTTAGGAATGGGGATGATTCAAAAGGATGGCTAAAAGATAGTACACCATTTAGCCTTGAGAAAACAATGATAGTGGAGTATTCCTTTTCCCCAATTACTTAAATGTTTCATGTGAAATTATGTGCAAATCAAGTGCAAGGGAAGGAAATTTTTGGGCATAAATGTTTGTTTCGAAAATTTTCAAAAAGTTACCTTTAAATTCTTTGTCTTCAAACCAAGTTAATATGTCTACAATCTTTAAGTTTTTATCTTAGTTAATTTTCATAAGTTAATCATAAGTGACTTAAATATGATGTTAGGATAAGTGTGAATATAGTGAAAACATGAAATAAAGTCTTAAGTAGGTATTTCTTTAGATTGTTGATTTTTATGTCATATGCATTTTAATCTTAATCTTTGACATGTATTGATTTTTGTGAAAAGCCATGCAAATATAAAATTGCATAAAGATTTAAGACATGAGTATAACTTTAGAATTTATTTACTTAACTCTCGAGATAAAATCCTAGATTGTACTTGACTTAAGAAATGATATAGGTCATTTTTGGACTGTTTGAGCCTTTTCAAGCCCACTTATAATAAAACATCCTTAGTACCTTACTTTGAGCCTTTATAATCCTTTTCTTGTTTATTTACCCACATTAATAAGCCTAAGGCCTTTCTTTGAATTATCCCTCTTTTTCTCTCCTAACCCCATTGCATATTGTATGTTAGGAACATAATAAGAGAACAAATCATATTAGGGAGGTAAAGAGGTGTAAGGAAGAAAAAAAATGAAAAAGCCAAAAATAGTTATGAAAATTAAAAAAAAAAAAGAAAATTTTGCTACAATAAAGATTCATCAACCTTGTAACATTTGAAAAGTTCTTAAGTCCAAGTTTTAAAAGTAAGCAAAGGGTTTTGAGCCTAAAATATCCTTTTTCCTACCTTGACCCAAACCTTACATTATAACCCTATAAAGACCTATTGATCTTGAGTCAATATGTAAGTCTACATTAATGAAAGAAAATAAGGAAAGTAAACATATGAAGTGTGCTATATCTTTAAGTTGATATGTGATGACATATATTACAAACTTTTCGCTTAGATTGCATGTATAGAGTAGAGATAGATTAACTTCACATACATGAGAGTTGCATGAAATTGAAAGTTTACTTCTAAATAAATTTTATGCCTAAAGATGTTATTAACTATTTTGACATTATAACATAGTGCATAATTGATAACTTATGAAACTTTGACTTTGAGTGCATCTATTTTGATTGTTAGCATAGTTAATTTAAGGATTTTGCTTGAAGACAAGCAAAAACCTAAGCATAGGGGTGTGATGATTATTAAATTTATAACATTTTATGTATCCATTTAGCTTTAAAATTTTAAAAATTTTCATGAACTTGCTGCTTTTATGTGATGAAATCTTTATTTTTAGGTTTTAGTCAATATGGACGTAAAATGCATGAATCATGCAAAGATGGTTCAGCCAAGACCAAGACTCAATAAGCTCAAGCCTATTTTGGCCATGCATAAAAAAGGCTAAAATGCACAAAAACTGAGAAAATATGTAGTCCATGATGTAGCTAACCCAAAAGCCCATTGAATAATCATGTATTGTTTGGCCAAATAAAAAGTTTATTTGCATGAGGACTCTTTTTAATCTTAAAAAGATTTTAAGTCAAATAAAATAATTCAAAAAGATTAAGGCTAGATTTCTTATACAAGAAGGTCTCTTTGAATTTTAATCGAAAAGAGTTTGAAATCAACTAAACCAAATCAAAAGGAGTTGGTCTTAAAAATATTTTAACCGAAACTTTTATTAGGATGACAAGATAATGCTGACTAAAAACACCTAAGAATGGAAAAACAAATGGACCAATGTAGGAATTAGATACAGCCAACACAAGCTCTATCTTATCCTTGAAGTTTTCCACATTCAACCAACCTCTTATCACATTCAAGATTACATTTTAATTTTTTAAGAGTTTAAACTTGATTGCTGCTTTTTATAATGGCTTTAAGTGCACTGATCATAATCAAGTAATAAAGTGAGTAAATATAGTATCGTTCTTGCGAGGATTATGTATTGGGTGCAAAACTAAGTACCAAAGAAGATTATTTCTAACTCTATATTTAAACAGATCAAAAAGTTGATTGGTTGAAAGCAAAAGTGAAAGCAATGGAAATTATAAATGTATAAGCCAAAAGCCAAGCTAATTAACTATCACTTGATAGCTTTAAAGGGCAAACAAATTATACAAGAAAATAATTGAAAGCTATAAGCTTGAATTTTGGCCAAACATAAGAAAACTTAAAACCAAGAATTGAAAACTTGTAAAGAATGGTGTGCATGCTAGTAAATAAATAGAGCTTTGACTAAGAAAATTAATAGAACTTGTATTATGAAGAGCTTTGAAAACAAACTATGGTTAGTTCGTCACCCTAAACAAGAACTACAAAAAGCTTTAGAAAAGATTTAGGCTAGTTTGTCACCTTAGCCTATTTATAAAGAAAACAAGTAAAAACCTAAAAAAAATAAGGGAGAAAAGTGGGAATGAATGGGAATGTTGAATATAAGAGAAAAGCTTCCCTATTTATAATAATGGGTTCAGCTATGGGGGAATTTGGATTACGAGAGTTCTTTTCCTATCCAAATTCAAAAAGATAAAAGTTATCTTAATTTTCAATTGGTAACCGAACACGGAGTTTTGGATCTTGGAAAGTCTTGGCCAAATAAGTCATCTTGAGATTCAATCATGTCCATCCAATTGTCTTGCATGATTGATCTTGCATTCATAATTTTACTGCCACTTGAGTCACTCATTTTCAATTATTAAGACACCAACATTTGTTTCATGCAAGGTTTAAGGTTAATTGATGGTTAATATATATTTAAAAGTGATATATTTAGCCAACTCTAAGTTAATTATGTTAAACAATAAGTTTAATTATAAGGAATGTACTTTGATCATAAATATTGTACATTATAATTATATATCAATTAATTATATATGCACATAGTAGCTTGCAACCATTTATACAAAATTGTAACATTTGTAAATGTCTCAAAAATATATGTACATTTATTTATAACATACGTACATGTCACATAAATGCATGAACATTGATATAAATATATGTACATTATAATTATAGCCAAAAACATTTTTTTTTCTTAGTACCTACACCAAGTAAAGAGTTTAAGAATGCTATTGTAATCCTAAACTCATGGACTTTTCTCTCATGTAAACTTGAGAAAATTCCATTCCATTTTTTCCAATAAATAACTAAAGAAATCTTCATTCTATTTATTTCATTTCATATAAACATTTGTTTAAAACTATAGAAATGATTTAATTATATTGTACCCCATCCTTTTTCCCTTGGTTTTTAACACATTCATTTTTCCAAATTGTATAATTAAAACAAACAAATATAATACCAATAAGAAGACATACAAAGACCATAAATCACACAAATTTCTTCTAACAGTGTCTCATTCTATCTTTCACACAAAGACCAAAATGGTAGAAAACCCATAGTTTTAGTACAAAAAAGTAAAATCCATTTAGGTTGTATAAATAATTTTATTATGCCTTGCATTTCAATAGGAAAGGGAAAAAAAAAAGAAAAAATTAAACAAATAAAAGATTGATTGAATCTCAACAATAAAGGGGGAAATAAGAAGAAATTAAAGAAGAGATTCATTAATTACCTTTTCCATCTTCAAATTGGTTTTGAAGATGGTAGCCTAAATTGATGAATTAACCAACCAGATTCTAAATTTTAAAATTTATAATAATAGCAACCAATTGACACCAAATACAAAAACAATACAAAAATGAAATTAAAGAGTAATAAAAAAAAAGGAAAGTAATCCTTACTTTAATAAGTTTAATTAATCTATTCAGTTAGAAAGCAAAAATTATAGGAGTAGGAAGGAAGAGGATTTGGACTTAGTGAGCTAAGGTTAATAAGTGAAGGGTTTTATAGGATAAAAAATGGAGAGATGTTGTGATCGATTGGCTATTATTGTCTTCGAATTGATAGGGATCTTCATTATGATTAGCAGAGCGCAAATGGAGAAAGAAAAAGATCAAGCAGATTATGGGCACTATGATTTCTTTTTTTGCTTCTTTGGTTTTGATTTCATAAAGAAAATAAAGGTGAAAAAAGAAAAAAATAAAGAAGAAAATTTTCAATTGAAAATTATCCGACAATAGGGATAGGGACTAAGGGAAGAAAGGAAAATGGTAGGCAAAGAAATAAGTAAGGATGACAATGGATAGTAAATAAATAGATATTCGGCACTATCAAATCTGCCTATGTCGAATTCATATACTCATAAACGAATTTGAATAATATATTTACTATTCGTGATGAATTCGAATAATATCTCTTGATTATATAATATTCGAATTCGTTTAAATTTTTTAAAAGAAAATATCGGATATCTAAATTTTTATTTTTTTACATATGCAAAATATGTAAAATTTTATATTTGTAGAAAGGTTTGAAGTTTAACAAACAACCTTTATTTATTATTAATAAAAAGTAAACTTGAATTTTAAATTTAATTCTCATTTATTTTACATCTTAATTAAAAAATTCAAGTAAATAGATATTTATCAGATTTGAATATTTAAAGATAACATTGATTTAATTAGATATATATTCGGATAATAATATTGTATTTAAACAAATAATTAAACAAATTTAAATATTATAAAAATTAAACATATTCAGATAGGATAGCTCAAAATAATATATATCCACTCTTTTACTATCCTTAAAATAGTCAATGAGAGAGAAATTTTTGTGGTTTATTTAGGATCAAAATATTAAAATCAGTTTTTTTTATTAATTTTAAAAAATACTTCTTCGTAAGATCAAAATATCAAAATTCCTATTGTATCCTTTTTGTAATTAAAAAAGATAAGGGCAAAGCGGAAAGAAAGGAAAACGAGCAGGAAGCGATTGGGGTTGCAATTTGGCATCGGAAAGAGAAATGAGCGGAGAAGAAGATGGCGGTGAGGCGGTTAATTCCGCAACGACAGCATGGGTGGAAGAACTTCAGAGAAGCCTTAAAGACTCCAAAAACTCAGCCATTCGGTCTGCTCGCTTCCTTCACCATAACTCCTCTACCCATCTGCGCTCTTTCCAGGTTTCTTATTGTTTGTTGTTATACAACAATAAAATAATAATACCATGCTCATATTGAAAAATAAAATAAAATCTAGATTAACGAATTTTTGGGTTTTGCAGGATTTTCTACCTCAAGCATTCTCCCAGTATAAGTCTTATGAAGATGCCTTTTTCAACAAACTTAAAGGTTTTCTTTTTCCTTTTTTCTTTTTTATTTTTCATAAAAGAAATCATATATATTCCATTGACGGTTGTGGTTTTACTAACTGATCAGTGTGTAAATGGTTTTTTTTTAAAGAGGGGTTGATGAGTGCAAAGGAACACCCAGCTGCAGCAATTGGGATGACTATTGCTGCTGCCCTCTCTCTTATGCCAGGTTTCTCCTTTCCTGATTATCATACTCATCCTATAATGTCCTGCCGCACTTGATACATGTCAACATGCTCTCTGAATTGTTAACCCACAAAAATGCTTTATTTGCACCATCTTTTATAAAAAAAAAATAAAAAAAAAACTTTTTTTGTAGGGATTAATTGAGTCTTTCAGAGAGATTTGCAAGTCTCCTCGCTCTAAGTTAAAGAGATTTTCTTGAAATGTCCTACTCAGATGCCGAATATTAATTTTTTGTTGTGATCAAATGGGTGGATCAATTTTTTTTTTTTCTTTTTTGTGATTAAATGGGTAAATCACGTTTAAGATGGCTCGGAGAAACTGGTCAGTTTTATCCTTAGAAGCTATGCCCATGAGGCAACACAATCATTCTCCTGCCAAGATGCCTATAATGTTTAACTAAGTTAGTGAGACAATGTTTATTTGAATAGCAAATCCTGCCTAGGGAGTGGTCTGATTCCCTTTGACTGCATTGACAATCTGCCTTCTGGTATCTTCTTCAAATAAAAGTATGATGTTTTGTTTCAAAACTGGATCCTTTACCTGTAGAAATTTATTAAATTAAATAAAGATGTAAGAAAACTTAAATGCAAAGTGCAATAAACTTTGGTTGACATTGATGGGGGTGATGATGTGGTGGGCAGTTTTTATGTTTTGGCTTGCTAGAATTTCCGATTTTAATCACAGTAAGTGCTTTAAATTTTTTTCGTAGTCATATTTTAGTTTTGATGCTGTTGCTAGCAGGTTTATTCAGGTTTCTTCTTTTTGCAATTTTGAATAATGGGCTTCCGCTAGCTTGCTTTCCCCTTCCCCAATAAACTGGTCTATATTGTTTCCTTCATATATTAGGTCAGATGTCATTGTAATTTTCTTTTATTTTGGACATAATTTCGTGTGCTAAATCTCTCTAATTCTTCACAGTTGTACTTGTTATGCCTTATAAATTACAGACCTCAAGCCTTTTTTTTCCTACAAACTGGCAAGAATTAACTAGAAGTTACAATAGTTTGATAAAAGAAAAAAATATTGTAAGTTTTGCCTAGGATCCAAGTTTTCTCATATCCTATGATGATTTGTACTCTTTGGATTAATAGCTGGGCTACATCAATTTTGTTCAATTTACATCCTCCTAATGGCCACTGTTTCCCCCTCTTTAGATCTTATGGACAAGCCACAAAATGAAAGTATTTAACCAATCTTCAAATATTTTCATTTGACTTCTTTGCAGTTCAAAACAAATTTCTGTTTGGTTTGCTTTTTGAATATCATATGAACTAATGCCAGAGTATTTATTGCAGGCCCAAGAAGGCTTCTATTCCGTAATACGTTGGGTCGATTTCAAAGTGAGGAGGTACCTACCCTCTTAAAATGATAGAAGCTACCTCTACTCAATGGAACTAGAAGTACAATGTTTGCTTCCGCAATATATGCTGCATGACCTGCCATTTTGATTTCTATACTAAGCCATAGCAAAAACCTCAGGTTCTAGGTATCACATGTCTTAATTTAAGGTTCAATTCTTATCTCTCTTACACATGGCTTTTTTGCTAAAATTTCCTGCAGGCACAATTTCTTAGGGCTGAAAAGAATGTAAAAGAGTTGAACCTTTCTGTTGATCTGATGAAAAAGGAGAGCAGTAAGCTGCTTGAAAGGGCAGCTCTTGCAGAAAAGGATATGAAACGTGGCCATACAGAGCTCATGTAAGTAGTGTGAGTTTCTTTAATGGTATGCTTCTATATCTTCATTAATTTTCTGAGTTCACTGTTACAAGTTGTATGTGTAGGAATGCTGGAGGTCAAATTCAACGTCTTGCCTTATTAGTTTACAAGGTTGAGGCTGAAACTGCAGGTATGCTCAAAACTCACCTTTTCTTTTAATATATATGCCGTCTTGGGCCCTTTGTGAAGCATTGACGGACATAGACTTTTCCCCTCTGTATTGTTTGTCATTTATTTTCTTTCGATGAACCTGGTGATTCCCCCTTCCCCTCTTTTTGTCTCTTATTAGTACAGCATAGAAGGATTGTAATAGGAAGTTTGGAAACTGAAATTTTGCATAAAATTATTCTAGCATGCAGCCGTAAAGTCAGTTCTCCTATAATGTCCTTCAGACCATATAGCTAACTAAAATAACAGTAGAACTTAGATTGACCTGTGGTCAAGCATGGTGCTTTTAGAAAAAGTATTGAATTGTATCCATTGATAGATGAGATAGTTATCCACAAATAAGGTTGGCAAAATAACCCACAGCCGATTCTGAGCCATCTTGATAGTTTCTTCTTTCTTTTTTTTTCTTTTTTTTTTTGAAAATTGAATATCAAGGCAGGGTATGGCAGGTTTTCTACAATAAAACTTGGGCCAAGTCAGCTTTAAGATAATCCCGTTCCACCCGAGTATATCAATAAAATATCCTTCATATCGTATTTAATTATTTTATAACCTTATTATTATATATACACTTGTGAGTAGGGTTCTTACATTGCCTTTTACACAATCTAGGGAATTCCAGTAACCCTTTCTTCCATATTTCCTCTGTTACAGCAAACAAACAAGCATCCAACCATCTTTTGATCCTTTTTTTTTTTTTTTGTTAATAACATTGTCTGCTTTTGCTTCCTTACATGTATTTTTATCTTCCATTTTCTCTGCTCTGTTTTCATTGTTTCTTAACCCTAATCTCGTCATCCCTCTAATGGTCATCCTACCATTAGATCCATTTAATTGATTTTCCTTTTTTTCAATTTCTTTCAATCCAAAATTGCCCCTTCATTATAATGTCAAATACTAGTTTTTGAAATGAGCTTTTTTTATTCTCAATCTCCCAGAATCACTTGAGCAAAGCTCACCATTTTTGTTGTTATGTTTAGTTACTGATTATCTGTTCCTATATTATAATTTGTTAACCTTGTTATTACTTCCGGTGTTGTAGTTTTAATTTCTTTTGTTTTCAGTTCTTGTTAGGCGTTTGACAATTTGTCTAGTTGGGACTTCATTCTATTGTTTAATGAGACTAAGACATACGACCGTCAATTATGGGGATATTGTAACATGCTTGTTAGGTTTGGGCATTTTCTACTCCCTCCAATGGGGCAGGGACAGGATTGTATTGCCAAAACCCTGAGCTGAGGTGGGGTGGGTTCAGATGGTGACAACTAGGGTCAGGTTGGATTAGGGGGGGGGAAAATCTGCCCAATTGCCATCCTTATCCTCAAATGTAGAATAAAGTCTTGCCATGTAAAGGTCTCAAATGGGTCAAGGAAAGGGAACATCTAGATTCTACTGATTGTACCGTTAAATTTGATGGGATGCTGTTAATCACATGTACATTTTCTTTAATGTTCTGTATAGATTTGATGGATGGGCTGCGAGAAATCCCTGGCAGGGAGGCGTTGAAACTACGAGCAGAGGCAAGTCCAACATTCTCTTCTTTTTCATTATTATTATTATTATTATTATTATTATTGTTATCATCTTTGCAGTACTGATCCCTGAAGGTGCTTCTCCATGTCTTTTAACTTTTTGTATTAGGTTGCTTCAATATCTTCGCATTTGAGGCAGGATAGGATTTCACTTGACAAGAGGATAATGAAAATATCTGAATTGGGGATACCGGTCTGATAACTGGGCCAATCTGCCTTGTTATAATAAAGTGATCCCAACCAAACTTTTAGAGATGGAACTTAAATCAGCCGATATAGTCAAAGTGCAATTGAGATAATTCTCTTTCATTTCATAAACTTACTCTCCTAGAGTTTCAAGTTTTAGTCGTTGGAGTGATCATGTCAACTCCAATTTTAACATTCTCAGCCTATTCGATCATGTGGCATGTTTGTCATGTTTTAAAATAAATATATTAAATATTTGTGGAAAAATTCAATGTGAATGTCACTGGCGTAAACATTGATTGATCTTGGACTAGGTTTTTACCATTCCAGAGAAAAAATAGTACATTTTAATTAACTTTAAAGGAAAAATTGATGCTGATATCTATTTGTACATCTAATTTTGTTTCTGTACGTTTTACTTGTATCAAGTGTCACATTTTAGCTTCTCTTTTTTATCTTGCTATTTAGGGTTTTTTTTCTTTTTTTTACTTTATTTAATAAATTAATTTTTAATATACTAAAAAATAAAATAAATATTTTTTAAAGATTTTAATTTTGTGTACAACTCAGTTATATCTAATTTTTTTGCTTTTCTTTTTTACCATTTTTATTTACTTTTTCTCTTTTTATAAAAATTTAATAAATATTTTTTGAATTTTAAATTTTGTGTGAAACCCACAAATATACAAAGTTTGTCATGTGGTTTTTTTATTTTTATATTTTTAATAAATGATTTTTTATATTTTAATTTTTTTTGTGAAATTCACTTGATACCAAAAGTAAGACATACGTCAAGTCATTTTATTTTATTTTTTTTTCTTTTTAATTTTTTATTTCTTTTCTATTTACTTTTTCTTTCTCTATATTTAATAAATATTTTTTAAACATTTTAAATTTTTTTAATATGGATCCGTTTGATATTATTATAAAAAACATATATATTTTTATTTTTTTTAATTTGATAATTTTTTAAAAAATTAGATATTAATAAAAGCATTTTGTCAACGTTACAATTGAATTTAATGTTTTTTTATTTGTAAACATCTCATTTTGTCAAAGAAATTTTTTTTCAAAATTTATCAAATTTTGCTTTAATTATGCAATTGAACCTTAATACCAAAGTAAATTTTAAGCCTAAGGATTAAAAGCTCAAAACTTTTAATTTTGGTTTTTTAATTTTAATTTTAATTTTTGGTTTTAATATGTTGGTTAAAAAGTTTTAAAAAAAAAAAGTGAGAAAAATGTGGTGAAAAATTGACAAATAATCCTGGATTTAGTTTGGATTGTGGAACTTAATGATCTAATATTTTTTGAGAGATTCTTGAACACCAATCTATTACAAAAATAAAGATATTAAAAAATCACAATTTTGAAAAATCTTACAGATTTGGTGGAATATCGATTTTTCAAATTGAATTGGGATTTTGATCTTTATAAAAGGTTTTCAATATACGAAAAAAAAGGGAGGGATCAAGAAGAATGAAAAATCTAGGCAATTAATAGAGGGGTAGAGAGCAATTTGACAAAACAATTTAGCTTCAATTAAAACACTAATCAGCAGCTCAATTGAGGAAAGGCCTCATAAAGAATTTGTAATCAATATAGAGGTAGTTTCAGGCAAAATTTTAAAACATAGTAGAAAGCAAGAACAATTGGCAAGAACAAGCAATATTCAAAGCTAATTTCCAGTAGAAGAAGCAATCACAGAGCAAGAAGGCAGCAATTTGGCAGTAAACATTCAAGCAAATTCAGCAAGAAACACAATCAACAATCAGCACACACATAACCAAGAATAGAAACAAGCAATTATCTAGAAAAAAACACCATGCCTCAAATCATTCCTTAATTGAAACCATATAAAAAAAAAAGCCAAAAAATCTCAATTCATCAAGAAACCTAAAAAAAACCAATTGTCGCAGCAAGACCCGAATATACCCTAAATTACCCACATGTAGAAATCCATTATAAATCACTAATAAAAAAATTACCACCAAATTAATCCATAATCTCTAATTCAGCAAAAACCTATACTAACTAAACCAAGAAAACTCAAACCTCACACCCGACCGGCCCACAAAACTTGGATTCAACAACCTAAAAATAAACCTAAACCCGAAGGCCAATAAACCCATACCCCAAGAACAAAATCTCAAACTTAAAAGAGATAGCAAGCATCCATAGTCATAGAAAATCAAGGCTATCACAAACAATTGTAGAGCAAAAATTATGAAGAAAAATAATTTCTTTCCTTTCGGGCAAAAGAGATTTTTGAAGTTTTCTAGGGTTTTTAAATAGATAAAAGGTTTTAGGATTGTCTTAATGGTGGAAAATAGGTGGCATAATCTGACCGTAAGAAAGAAAGAAAAAGGCGTTGTTAGTATAAGAAAAAAGAATGGAGAAGAAATGTGACGAACGATGGTGGTGGTACACATTGATTTTTGGGTTGCTAGGTATTGGTTTTTGGTTTGAAGAATTGTTAGAAAAAGGAGAGGGAATCAATCGGGGGAAGCTTTTTAAGGTTTTTCACAAAGACCAATGGTGGCAATGACAGACAAGACCAACGATGAGCTTGGTGGTCAATTAAAGTGTTGAATTTTAGATGTCTGTTATTATAGGAGAAACTTTAAAGAGAATAAGGAAAGCTTGAAAGCTGAAGGGAGAAAGCTAAAGAAGAAAATGAACAAAAGTTCTAAGGGCCAAAGTGCTACCAGTTTGTGCAAAATAAAAAATATGGACCAACTTGTTACATGACCCGACCCACTTCTTAAATCAGGTTTTTTTTAGCTATTTTTTTATTTTTTTATTATTTTTTAAATTAATATTTGATTTTTGTATGGATTTTTTCCTTTATTTCTACTTGCTTATTTTATAGTATTTTAGCATTATTTATAGTTGCATGATTTATTTATACTTGTATAATTATTAATTTATATTTGTATGAGTATTTATATTTGCATGATTAATAATTTATTTACATGATATCTTATATTGTTGCATGATATTTTTGCATGATTTATTGCATGGTATGATTTTATATTTATTGCATGATTTTTTGCATAGTATGATTTTATAACCTTAAACAAGATAATCTATAATTAATTTGGTATCAATTTTAGGCGTAAAGGGGTATTAATACCTTTCTTGCACATAACTGACTCTCGAACATTAGTTTTATTGATGTAGACCAAAATCTATTCTTTTTATGGACCTTTAGTTTAGGCTTAGAACAACTTTAAAAAGGATAAATTCATATAGGTGACTAATCACACTTAGATAAAAAAAAGATTAGTGGCAACTAGAGTTTTTGTGTCTAACGAGTAAGTTTTTCTAACCTAAATGTTATGACAATTTGACAACTCCACTGAAGATCTTAGAGAGTCAAGCTATTAGTTAGTTATGTGTTATCTTAAGTATTACTTTGATGGTTTTATTATGCAATTTGTTTTGATTTTTCATGTGTACTACTATTTGTTTGCATTTTCTTATTTGTTTGTTTTGTGGATTTTAACTTTTATGCATCAATTTATTTGATTATTCAACATGTCCTTTTACACACATCATACTTGCATTCATGCAGAAGCTCTGTACCTAGGTTCCATCCTTTATTAAGAGGGAGTAAGTATGTACACTCTTATAAGGTGATAACTTTTGTGTGAGTTAGTGAAAACTCTCATTCAAATTGAACACTTTTAGTTTGAGCCTATAATGGTAGACGAGGATTGGGGTGCTTTACTAGTATATAATGAACGATGATATAGGGATCAATTTAGAAACCTTTAAATTGTCAAACCTTTGAACCCAACATGTAACTTAACCTTAAAGATCCAAACCTAAGTTAGAGCCCTGTCTTCCTTTTTGTTAGAAAACCCTAAATAGGACACATGATGGGACATTTATTATTTTGCTTGTAAATTTATAAATTGTTCCTTGTATATATTATGTGCATATTAATCCTTTATATTTATCCTCATATAGATTATGTTTACTAACCCTTTTTTTTATTGTATATACATGCATTTAGATCATTAAATCCTCTTAATGGTATTCATGCATACATGCATTCATTCATGCATAAACTAAAGATAAGATAGTTTCATGAACATCTCTCTAAATATGCACCTTAACTACGGTAAAACAAGGTTCAATGATAGCTCAATCTTTATATCAAGCTAGAATTATGGTGGAAAAATAACCTTTTCACTTCCAAAAGATGAAAAAAGGTACAAAAAGAAATAAAATGGCAATTAGAAGATATGATTGAATTGCTAAAGAATTTAAACAAAAAGAAAATAGTGGTTAAAAAGATTGATGATCCAAAATATGCATTTGGTTTTGGCCCATATTCCAAACAAATGTCTAAAGGGGCCTAATATCAAATGCTATTTACAACAAGCTACCCTAACATGAATGCTCTTACTCATATGGCTCTTATTCTTGATCTAACTCAAGTTTCTAATCCAGATGATGTAAGGGAATAAGATAAGATGAAGACAAACATAGTAAAAACCAAGGAAAACTTTGGATCTCAATAGAAAATGGATCTTATTGAAAAAAGATTTTAAGTTATTAAGGGGACGAATTTTTATGGTTTAGTGGATGTTTTTGAATTGTGCTTAGTTTTTTATTTGGTCATTTTACCCAAGTTTAAAGTGCTTGAATTTGAAAAAGTATGATGAAACCAAATACCCCATAATGCATGTCACTATGTACTACCACAAGATGGCCATACATGTATATGATGAAAAGCTATTCATCTATGTTTTTCAAAATAGCTTTAGTGGATCTATTTTAAGATGGTATGTTTAATTGGATAAGTCATGTATCCATGGTTGGAAGGAACTAACTAGGGCGTTCATCATACAATACAAGCACATCATATATTTGACTCCAGATCTTTTGTTCTTACAAAGCATGGAAAAGAAAAACACTAAAAACTTTAAGGAATATACCCAAAGGTGGAGGAATATTACTGCTCAAGTTCAAACACCGCTCATTGACAAAAAGACCATGATTATATTTGTCAATACTCTTAAAGCCCCATATAATGAAAGAATGATTGGAAATGTCACTAAGAATTTTGTTGATATGGTGATTTTTGAGGAGATGATAAAAAATGTAATCAAGAATGGCAAACTTAAGGAAAGTGGTATAAATGATGCAAAAAAAAAAAAAAATGATCCACCAAAGAAAAAGGAAAGAGATGCTTAAGTTATGATTTATGAAAAATAACAGGCTAAAGGCTTCACCCCATATCAACCTTATCCGATGTACCCATCTTAGTACCCTTCTATAAACAACCTCTTTCAAAATCCTTATATTTGTCAACCTATATGGTAGTTGGGCTTTCATCCCCAAACAATTGCCCATGCCCTTGTCACTCAATTTGC